AAATCTAAATGGGCAAAAACAGCATGAGATGATGCTCCATTTCACTTGTAATCAGGGAAGTGCAAATTCAAACCACAGGAAGATGCCATTTCACACCCACCAGATGGGCAAAAGTTAATAAATCTGATAAAACCAAGTACTGGTAGAGATGTGGGTAAACAGGAACTCATATCTTACTAGAGATGGAATACGTGTATAAATTGTTCAGATCACTCTGGAGAGCAGTTTTGTCCAACTGAGATAAACTGAAGAAGTGCATACCCTTATAAGCAAACATTTCTACTTCAAGGTGTCAACCATGGAGAAATTCCACACATGTGCACAGAGTGTACAAGAGACTTAGCTTGAGCATAGTTTCTAATAGGGAAAAAGTGGAAACCACCTAAGATCCCCTTGTTAGGGGAAATGGAGAACTGAACTGTTGTCTGTTTGCACAAGACAACTCTGTGCATCAGGGAAAAGGAGTTAATGAGACCTACATGTATCAACATAAACATAATTTGAGTGAAAAAAGTTACAAAAGGATGTAATAGATACTATTTATGTAAAATTTAAAAACAAAAACTAATGCATATTGTCATGCATATGTACATTATAAAATTATAAGAATATACATCAGAATGAAATACACTAGCTTCAGGAAGAGGCTACTTCAGGGTGAACATTAGTATATCTAACTTTTTGGATTATATGTGGGTACAAGGAAACAGTTCAGCAAATAGAGCCAAACATTACCATCTATTCAGTTTTGATGATGGGTGCTTAGCTGCCTGTTAGGTTGTGTTTTCCCTATATTGTATGTTGGAATGTTTTATAACTAAAAAATGATTATACGTGGAATTATCAGACCAGAGTAGTATAACTGTAAGAGTTAACTATTGCTCCTGAAATAGCTTGCATGGCTTACTAAAGCAAAAAGAGATTCTGTGCATCAACACCTGTTTCCAAACCATAATTAGAAACCTTTTCCAAAGCTCATTAAGATGTTTCTTTACACATTTCCTGGGCCAGAAGCAAAATAATAAGGGTGAGATCCTCTAATCTGATTTGTTTTTCTTTCTGTTGAACCTACATGCTTTTGTATGGAACTATTGTCCATTTTTCACACAGAGCTTTCACAGAGTATACAGATTTATGATAGCAAGTAGACTAATCTTTAAGATGTGGGATTTTTTACATCACAACATTTTGATGACTGATAAACAGAATATTTTTCCCAAAATACATATTAATGCCAATTTATGTTTTTAAAAAAAACATTTCAGTAATTACCATCATGCTTGGACAGAATTAAAGGAAAATGAAAAACATTACCTTAGCAGAGACAATGTCTATGGAATAAAAATTACCAGCATGCATCCCCTCGTGTGTAAAATGCAGTCTCATGTTTCTATGTCACCACAATGAAGATTAGATGATGATAATGCATATCTAGCACATAGCACAGTAAAGGGGCACATAAACATATTTTTCTTTGTTATCCATTCCCTTGCACGTGAACTTGAAGGGCAAAATAAGAGGCATAACAGGTTAAGGACAAACCTAGCATTTTCCAGATCTGAGTCTGTTGTTGCCACCACCCAACCAGCCCCCCATGTCTTCATCTGGAAACCAAACTGAGCTGAGGACTACACCAACCACTTACAGGCAGGCAGGTGTGTGTTCCCAGCTGGGCCAGCTAGCTATGGAAAAGACACAACATCATCCAGCCCAGGAGTGCACCTTAATTAGTGTCTTCTCTGAGCTGACATAATTCAGATTATATTCTGAGTTTCTAATAATTTCTTCTGATTTCTTTACAAGTTATGCCTGACATAAAAGGCTCTCTAGTAAATGTCATGTCTGTTATGAACATTTTACCCACCTTGTGTTTTTCCTATTATTTCAGTTTATGGTTTATGACCAAAAAATAATCTACTTTTTAAAGTCAAGTCAATGCATTTTCCCTCTAGTTATTTCTATCATCTTATAAACAGATAGTTTTTTCCCCATCCATAGATGACTTAGTCACTTACATCTTTTAGTGGTTGTATTATTTACATTTAACTCTTTGATCCACTTACAATTTTTTTGGTGTGATATGAAGTGAAGCTACACATTGCCTTTTTATTTTAAATAAACACGGCCCTACTTATGAATGCACTTCTTCCTTCTCTGATGCCTTTCGTGATGTCTCTTTTATTTGCAGTAATTCCTTCTGAAGGAGGAAAGCTATCAGTCACACAGGAACTTTTTAAAAATTCACTTGACCCCACTTGGCAAGACTCCAGCACATCTTAACTAACAGAATCTTAACTTTTCCTCTAATTTGTTCCTGCCCTGCCCCTTTGAGAACCATTAATTTTTCATATAATCTTCTCATGTATCATCAAGCGTCTGCTTAGAAATGTGTATTCTTTTCCACTGATAAGCTTATCCTTGCATCTGCTCCACAGTGTTCTCCTTATTGAAAGATAAGAATATATTTTAATAATCTGGTAAATAAGTTTTCATTCATATTTCAAAAGCCTAAAAAATAACCATTAATATGTTTCTGCAAGTCCAGGTTGTCTGTTGAGAGAACTCCATATCATGCTGTTTTTCTCGTGGATAGCTTTCATTAAGGCTTTGCTTCTACTTTTATATCAGCAGGACTGAAGAATCCTTTTTACAAAGTTGGAAATAAAACCTTCTGTACTAGAACAGAATTTTCTTTTTCTATTGCCGTGATCTTAGAAATTCAACTTAGAAAATCAAACCCAGCTCTGCACAAAATACCTTTCTGAAACTGACAGCAAGACTCAGCATTTATGTCTCACTCTGGCAGCCAGGCAGTTAATTTTGCTCTTGTTTGGTTTTGCATATGTGACATGTTATTTAGAAACTTGTTCTGAAGATCTTTTGCAAGGTGAGGATATGTATATACTTCTGAATTTCCTATTTCTAAACCTTGGCTTGGGGGAGGTAGGAATGGCATTTACTGCTTGCAAATACTAATGTTAAGTAAGAAATAAAAACCTGCATATAATAAATAGCCTTCAATTTGATAAGTCAGTAGCCTGTTCTAAAAATTTAGGAACAGTCTCAGGATTCAGTCTACTCTGAGGCATGTCATTAGTGAAACATCTTATCAGTAAACAAAATCTGTTATGAGCTGTAGACAGGTTGACTTTCATCAAAATTTATTTTATCACAAATATTATAGCAAGAATTAACTCAGTGTACTTTATTTAGTTAAGAATGCCATCATTCAGGGCTTTATAGGGATCATCTCATTTAATATAAACAATGAGACAGCCTCTAAAACTATGAGTGTACTTATGTTTCTTTTAATGTTCCATATGATTAAGAATAATAATAATAGTAGATAATGTTATTTACATTCAAACTATGTGTTCACAGTAGAGACATGTAGGGATATAAAAATGTTTACCAGTAACATAAAAAAGTGTTTTAATTTTGAGAACTTAAAGGAAAATCAATATTGTTATATTTTAAAGTCATACAAATAGAAATGTTGAATTTCAGCTTGGTGGTATTTGTTAACATTGTCAGAGCAAAGTAATTAATATAAATTTTATTACTTTTTTCTGGGCATTGAATTTTTCTGCCAATTTCAACTTTTGTTCTCAAATGTTCCTTATTTTTTAAATATAATTCTGCTCCAACCTAGTCTTTATTCAACCAATTATATGCGCTTATTGAAATTCAGCTGAGCACTTACTGTATACAAGCTAAATCTCATTAAAATAAATCCAGCCCTAACAAAATTCATCATACTCTTTAACTGATTTCCTAGCCAGTGGCCAACCCGAAGTTTGAGGAATTATTCTGACTAAAAAAAGTCTTCATACTCTGTGACAGAAACTTATGAATGGATCCTTGGAGTTTGTCATAACAGGCTTTTACATAGTCACTCTACAGCATTCTAATTCTGTGTGTGACCAAAGAACTAAACAAACACTGGCCAAACTTTTGAAAATGGTTGCCTTAATGACATCTCCTGATTACAATTGTATGATGGTCCATGCAGCTATATCCAGATACACTGACTAGGAAAAAAAAAAGTACACCCACTTTTTAAATTCTGTTAAGCACCCATCCCTTCCCCCTCCCTCCCTGCCTCATTCATCTGTCCATTCATTCACTCATTCATTCAGTTATTCAACAGATATTTCAAGGAGTTGGTGATGAATAAGATCCCTTTCTCTTAGAGTTTACTCTCCAGTTATTTTTTAACATATATGGAAATTTCAGAATTTGCTCCATTTAATTCCAATCTACAGGCTTTTTTATTATTATGAAATATTTCAAACACTCAGAAATAATATAACAAATACCCATGTAATTGCCACACGGGTTTAACGGGCATTAGCACTTTGCCATCTTTGCTTCAAATCTCTCCAAATGTAACCATTAAGTTGGTGTGTATGTTGTGTATATTACCATGCATGTTTTGTATGGTTGTTGCATATCTATAGATCCATAAAGAATATGGTGTTGTTTTATGTGGTTTCATATTTTACATAAATGACATGGTACATACCCTTTCACAGTGTTTTATTTGTTGTTCTTTCAGCATTGTTTTTGAGAATTCTCCATGTTGATGCATGCAGGTGTAGTTCATTTCCTTGAAGTGCTGTGTGCACTCCATTTTGTGAACAAGCTACAGTTTATTTCTCCATTCCTTTCTTGATGCATAGTCACATTGCTTCCAATTGTTCAGTATTATGACCAGTATTTGACTGAGCATCATTACATGTGTTTCCCTATATACACATGAGTGATTCTGTAAGATGTATAACTACTAGTGGACTTGCTGAATCATAGGATGTGCACATGTTCAATTTTACTCTATGAAAGTGTGGTACAAGACAACTGAATCATTTATAAATCTGTTATTAATAAGGTGCAGTTTTAAGTCCTTGGCTAGTGAATTCTTAGCTCATCTGTTGTTTGATTTTGCTATACAGTATTTAAATTCTTTCCATTTTATCTAAGCAATGATAGATAGTGGGTGATTTCATTTTTTAGTAGAATTTTATTAATTATCATTTCATCTGCTATAGAGGTTTAGGCATAAATGAATATACTGGCAAATTTACAAGCTTTTTAAATGACAGTGAACATATGTTTTCTGACATTTTAAGTCAATCTTCAAATCATTTAACTTAACTTTTAAACACACTCTAGTATTAGGTGCTTGATTTTGAGTAACGACTTTAGTGACTTGAAAAGCTATGACATTTTAATTAAATGTTTAAACCGTAAATTGCACTTAACTATATAATCTATGTTAAGAGTGTTAGCTTAACAATATATTTTGAACAGATTTTACACAGAGATTTCAAGTCTAGTGATGCATATAAGCTTTTCTTTCCCTTGAAATATTTACAATTAAGCAAATGAACTATCACAAGTAAGAAAAGAGCTTTGAGAAGATCTGAGCTTTGTAAATGCTGGAGCTTTGTTTCATAGTTTTTAGTTCTTCAAGGAACTAAGAGGTTGCATTTTATTATTATTTTTAATGTTTACTTCAAGTGCTTTAAGAAGTCAAATGAATTTTTGCTATAGCAGATGTATCATGCAGGGAGTATCCTGGTTTAAATTCTGAAGTGCTTTCACTCCTGCTCGCTTCCCCTTGAAATCGTCTAGAAAGAAGTTGGCACATTATTTTGCGGATGTTACTAGACATCAGGAAATACATGACTGGATCTAAGCAACTATTGAAAGATGAGAAAACCAGCATTATCTCATTGGTTTTGTGAACGATTTCCTTCCAATAGCAAGATGATCCATTTAGCTGTGAAGAAATATAGATAAATCGGAAGGCATGATAGGGAACAAAGCATATAGTAAAAATAATCAGTACAATAAAGGAATTTCGGGCTGTAGTGGCATATTTACCAGAATTAGGAAATTTTGACCTCCTTTTGGAAATCCTCAATAGGTTCTTGCCAATCTTAATATATGAAAGGATTATTAGTAGGAAAATTAGCCAGAACATTACCACAAGAATAAAGTTAAAAATTGCTTCTCCTTTTGCATTATGCTTATCTCTGTAATGGAAACACATGGTGGAATTATGACCTCCTTTCTTAAGGGTTAAAATAATCATAGTTAAAAATCCAGCAAGAGCAACTGTCCATACTGTACAGCAAACATAAATACTTTGTTTGGTTGTTATTGCCTTCCGCTGCTGTATAGACCGATTAATTTTTATGTAGCGATCCAAACTGATGAATCCAAGCAAAATAATGCTAATGTACATGTTCATATAAAATAGTGTTCCCACAACCTTGCAAAGAATCACACCTAGTATCCACTTGTTTTGGTTAATGTGATACATTATTCGGAAAGGGAGGCAGAAGATAAGTAAGAGGTCTGCAATGGCTACATTCAGTAGGTAAATCTGAATGGAATTTCTTTTATGGTGGATACCAAGAAATACATAGAGGGCAATTATGTTTCCAACAAGTCCCACTATGAAAATAACAGAGTAGAATGTTGTTAACACACTAGAGAGTAATTTTTCATCCATGGAACAGGCAGTAAAATTTGATGCTCCTGAGAAGTTGTGTGGCAGTTGGACACTGTGATTAGTTATAAAGTGCACTCCCTGGGAGGAGCAAGGCCTGCCGCCAACTGAGGGAGTCGTCACGGTCATGGTGTGGCTTCTCATCGTCTTCTGTCAGAATCAAAAGTGAAGGTGCTAAATGACATGTTCCTTGTCTGTAGCTTTTATGTCTTCAGGTTTTTCCTACAACAGAATGACAAACATTGAGTCATTTGCTACTTTAGTAACATTTAGTTTAATTCAAAGCATAAAAAATTATTTCTATTCAGACATTGTGAGGAACTTTACTTTCATCCTACTTTGGACCATTTGAGAGTATCTACACCATGTATGTAGCAGCACTATGGCTGTGGTTTATGTTCAAGGTTTGTTTTTTTATTATTATATTGAGTATAAATAACTGAATTATGAAATAATCTTTCCTCAGGGAGGTTGTTATGGGACTAGAGATGGAGGTGATGAGAAATGACAGCTCATATTCTTCAAAGATAAGTGTCAATTTCCATAAAGGTAGTTACAGCCATGAGTGAGCTGGGCCCACTGCTGGCCCCTGCCCAGCTTCCTGCCTTGACTCCTTCCCACATATGTGCCATTCATTCATTTTGACATGTGTTGTCACATGGTTTATGACAGATAAATTTTTCACAGTCACTCATTCCATGGTGGGAATAAAGGAAAGGATCCTGAATTTCTTCCCTTTCAACCTAAGACCAGGTTGGATGTATTAAAGTCATTTGCCTACAGGGGCATGCAATTTTCGTAACAGATGAAGAGAGAGAGCATAGCACCAGTCTGGTCAGGCAGACTCTTGCAGCACTGCGCAGGAGAGCAAAGTAACCAAACAAAACTAAGTCAGGTGGCAGTGGCTGCCAGTTAATCAGACAGTTCCCCGACCTAGAAGCATAAAGCATAGAGGGATAATGTAGCTGGAAAACAGGATGTACAATCCAGGATTTTGGAAGTAACCAAACTGCTGTTTAAAGATGCCCTGGTTGGGTAATTTGAGACTGCTTCTAGAACCCTATGAGAGATACTGTGTGGATTCCCCTTGTTTGTGGCCACAGAGAGTGATAGCCATGCTACTTGTTACTAGCCCTTTCCTGGACATTGACTGCTATAAAGAGCTCTGTCCTAGAAGCCATGATAAAGAGCTAGAAGACATCAGAAGAGGGTTCCAGGAGGTCTCCTCACATCCCTTTCTTACAGTGACTGCCCTCTTTCTCTATAGCAGCCTTTTAGCAGGTGTGACATAAAGACATTGAGAGCAAAGTCATCAAAATCAGGCCTAGCTAACTCTGTGACCTTGGGCAAACAACTTAATCTTTTCTAAGCCTCAGTTTCCTTGTTTGTAGAAATGCAAAATGCATATAAAGAACTTAACCCTGGCATATAACAAGTGCTCTATGAAAGTAAGCTTTTAAAAAACACCTTTTGAATAATCTCACTGTAGTAAGTATTTCACACCTGCTAAATCCTGCTTGGAAATCAAAGCTGAACAAGACAAAGCCCCCGTTTTGATTAACCATCTTTGTAGCCATGTGCATTTAAACTCCAAATGCTTTGATGTGAAGTGGATTTGAATTACAGTAACTAATTTCCTGATTTGACATACCCAGAAAAAAACATTTGAAAGAACTTAGCCTTTCTTAAAACTCTACCTGTAATTGGACAAGAAGAAACCATTTTGGCAGTGGGTAAAATTCCAGTTTAAAATTTTGTAAAGGGGGAATTCTAGGGAAGAGGAACCGGATGGTGAAGAGGAAGTTACATAATCCCTGGTAAATTGTCTCCAGAGTTCAGGTCAATGAAGGGAGGGAGGCAGGAGGACCGAGTCTAGTCTGTACTATATCTCAACTGCAGGAAGACAGATTTCACAAAGTTTATAGAAACTTAGGCATGTTTCTGGTGGTCTGACATTCTAAAAGGAAAGGGTAATCTAGGAAGAATGGCAGGCTGCCAAAAGTGAAGCGGATAATGCAATCTAGGTTGCCAGGAAGAGGGAAAGGCCGCCTGTAGAGGGACCTGTATTACGTTGTGGGCAGCTTGCAGAGGCTCAGGTAGAAACATCTCCTTCATAGCCACTGATGAACGGAGCTGAAGCATGACAAGTGAGGTGATTTTGAGAGCTCAGATAGCTGAAATGACTTTAAAAACTCATCTGTAAGTAGTTTTTTGTTGTTGGTGTTCTCCCCTGCTGTGTTTTAAACTCCATTAGGGTTAGAAACCAAGTCTCTTTTGTTTGCTGCCGTGTACCAAATGCTTGGCACAATAAATATTGTTGAATGAAAGAGGAAATATAGTCCAAAAGTATGTGAAGTTCTACATGTGGGTACTAAAATCAACTGTTCAAGTACAGGAAGGGCTTTGGCTGCATTAACAGTTGCAACTAACTGCAGTTGCCATATCAGTAGTGTGATGTGACCACAACCAAAACTACCACCTCCTTTGGTTGAATTCAGAGAAATGGAGTGTCTTCAATGAAGATTGTTACAAGTAACCTGGTTCCATCCCAAGCAGGTGGGACCTCACCCCAAGTACAGTGTTTCACCCTAGCAGCACATTAAAAAAGACCACAGAGCAAATGGGGAGAAAAGCCCAAATCGGGTCATGGGAGCAAGTTGAAGGAAATAGGCACCTTACCCTGGAGATGTGAATGCTTTAAAAGGCCGTGGAGAAAAGGATTTCACCTTGTGATATGTACCTTCAGGAAGCAGAACAAGGACCAGTGAGTAGAAATTGCAGAGACAGATGTTGCCTCCTTTTAAGGAAATGCTGTTTTAGAATGAAACAGTCTATCTTGGGAGGCAGTAAGGGTCTTACCACCAGAGATTTCGAGACTACCACCAATTGGGTACTTTGGAGAAGACATTCTCAGTGGCTCTCAATCCTGGCTGCATATTAGAATCCCCTAGAAGGCTTAAAGATACCAATGCCTGTCTCCATCCCCAGATCTTCTCATTTAATTGGTCAGGAATAGATTTCAGACAACGGTTTTCTTGAAAAGCTCCTCAGGGGATTCTAATGTGCAGTCAGAATTGAACTCTTGAGCTAGATCGCTGAACTATTAATAACTAATATTTATTGAACCTTTTCTATGTACCAAGCAGTGTGTTAAGCACATTTGTATTATTTCATTTACATAATCCTTTGATAACCATGTGAGGTAGATATTACGTAAGAAGTAACAATAGATCAAGAGGTTATGCTCTTTATCCATGACCACACAGCTCTTAGACAGCAGTACCCAAGTTGGGACTCAGACCTGTCTGGCTTTTAGAGCCCACGATCCTTTTCACCAAACCTCACTCCTCCTAATCACATATGATCAGCATTTTCTTTATTAAGGATAAGTTCTGTCAGCAGTATTTTGACATGATTAGCAATTTTAAGAAGAGATTATGCCATCTCACTTTACTTCTTTGGAAAAGGTATTAATCTTTTTATTTGCTATGTCCATTATAGTAATAAATAAGTCCAGAGTTTACAGAATCACAAATAATTCATCAGAATGTTCATCACATCCCCTAGGGCATATCTTCTCAAACTTCTAAGCCTGATAGCCATAATCAAGTTGCTTCTAGAGAACTGTTAGCACAAAACACATACCCTGAAACCATTTGCCTCAACTCTAATCTGCAAATAAAATAAGTAAGTAATAGTTGGACAAATCGCTAATAAACCTTTCTGGATTTGCTTTATTTTCAAGCTTAAAGAGAATAAAGCAAAAGCAATACATTTGTTTAATAGTAATAGTAGCATCACTTAGAACTATGTGTTAAATGGTTAGTGTCCAGTCGTTTATTAACAACTGAACAGATTAGATTGTTTTTAACTTAATAGCAGATTTTTTTGCCTCCTTTACAATGCATCGGTTACTCACTGCTCTTAAAGGCCATTTGTTGATGTTATTCAAACTACTTATTTGATTTGTTAAGAATGGCCAGTGAAGACAAGAAACAAGCCACTGTGTTTACATAGTGGACACAACTTGTGTGCTATATTGAAGTGATCACAATAATTTTCTGATAGTAAATGGTAAATGGTTTTTTTATGTCATAACTTGTCAAATCCTGAAGTTCGCAACCTTGTATTAATGCTGCGTTGTGCCCACCATTACCACCAGCACCCTATCCTTGCCAGTATTTTTCAGCTAGCTCATGTAGGAGCTTCTGTACTGGAGGAGAGGGTCCAACAGATTCCATTGTGGCCTCCAGTGAGTGAAAGCTTTTTAAATGTGGTCTGGGTAGGTTTGTGAAAACATCCCATTGCTATGTTAACATACATACCTATTTGGCAATGGTAGCAACCTTTCACCATCTGTAGTTTGACTTGATAATGACTGAATCATTCAGGCCATGCTTCAAAATTGCATTAATCGCTGCATACAAAATGAAAATTAAAAGCATGTTACTTTGGAAATAATACTGTTAACTAAGTATATTAGGTTTTGTTATAAACTTAACTCTGTATTAAAAAAATTATTTTAGTTAATTGAATTAAGGTATATTTTGCTTTTTCTATTCTCTAATATTCACCTTATTTATTCCTAAAACACCAAACTTAAAATGTAATTGGTCTCATAATTACCATAAAATAGTAACCATATAACAAAGAAAATACTATCATTGAAAATCTAGGGAGACAACGTAACTTAATAGAGTTAACAAGTTATAGGTCATTTATAATACTTTGGCAGTAAAATTTGCTTTTTATGAAAATGACTTTTAATTGATTCAACCAGATCTATAAGTCTTTATGGCAATATACAAAATATAGTATAAACAAAGTGACAGTGTTGATAGTATGCACTTAAATACCTCCGCTGTCCTAAAGTACTTCAAGTAACTAGGAAGACACAGCCTCATTTTAAGTCAAAGTCAAGGCAGAGGTCTCATTCAAGCAGTTTACTCAGGATTCTAAAAGCAAAGTGTTGCTAGTCCCCATGAAGAGGTTTCACTTTTAATATTCAGATAATGCAATCCTAACTGAAATACATCATTTATGTGGATCAAATCAAGGAATACTCACAGTTCTGGCTCTCTTGCAGTAAAAGGAGCTGAACCCCCAAGCTTTCCTAAACACAGAGATTCATCTTAGTGTGTCAGCTGAGCTCCTCCTTCCGGCTGTGGTGCAATTGGTTGGGGTTGTCATCTTTTTTTATATTTGCATGCGGTAGCAGGTTTTTCTTTTTCCCTTTTCTTTTTTTTTTCAGTTTCTTTTCTTTCTCTGTCCTTCTTTCCATTTTTTACCTTTCTTTTTTCCGACAACCCTCAGAATCTGTATGAAAGTATTTTTAAAAGCTCTGCCACACTGTGCAATAACTTTATCTTTAAGCTTAATCAACTCAAGTTTAGAAAATCTTTATCTCTTCTGTCTGAAGACCTTGACAATTGTGGAAAGTTTTCCCTTGTCCCCCAAAATAAAGATGTTTTATCTAAGCAGAAATATACATTTTCTTTTTCTTAAGAAATGATGCATAATATGCTATATATGAAGCTTCAAAGAACAAGCATTACATTTATATTTCTGGATTCCTTTTAGAAATTAAATTAGTCACATAAAATGGCATTCCTAATCTTGAATTGTACTGTCATTAGTAATGAATTATTTTATTCTTTAATTTTTTAAAGTTTTATTGGACCTGTACATTATTTTAGCATATTTTCATGTATTCCTTAAAGACCTTGAGTTTATTTCCTCAAACAATCTTACAATTTTAAGACTTCATTGAGATGTGTGATCATATTCTCCCCCTTTATCACTGTGAAAAACTCTCCCAAGTAAGTTGAAATATCTCCTACATTTTAAAGAAAATAATGAAGGAATTCTGCAGTTTTTGTTTTGGTCCTAGTCCAATATTTAACCACTGTCTGTCTATCTATGTAACTACTGGCCCCGCAGTTTGTCATTCCCCTTTTATTGTTGTCATTTGAAATGAACAAAAGTTAGTTTTTATCCTCTCCATAATTGTTACCCTGCAGCTTTGTTTACTTTACACTAAATAATATTTAACTCATTGGGCTTTATCTAACAGTCTAATTATTTCTGGGTACATAATTATTTCTGGTACTTTTCTGAACTCATGTTCTCCAGAGCTTTTAGTTTGTTATAAATATGACACATGGGACAAAATATTTTTAAATGCTAGAATAAAAATATTTTGTAGCTATTACTTCCGCCTACAACCTGTAAAACAGAAGATGATTACTGTGTTGGTCGGGTGTGATTTCTTTATTAAGCAGGAATTTTGTGTGTATATGGTAAAAAAAAAAACCACATAACATCAAATTTACCATCTTAAAGATTTTTAAATGTGCAGTTCAATAGTGTTAAGTATATTTATATTGTTGTGCAACAGATCTCTAGAATTTTTTCATTTTGTAAAACTGAAACTGTATACTCACTAAACATTAATTCTGTCTCCCTCTTTGCCCACCCATGGCAACCACCTTTCTACTTTCTGTAATTTTTACTACTTTAGATAATTCATATGAGTGGAATCATACGGTATTTGTCTTTTTATGACTGGCTTCTTTCATTTAGCATAATAGCCTTGAGGTTCACCCAGGTTGTAGCATGTGACAGGATATCCTTTTTAAGGCTGCACAATATTCCATTATACATTTATATCACATTTTCTTTATCCATTCATCCGTCAGTGGACATTTGGGATGCTTCCACTTCTTGGCAATTGTGAATAAAGTTATGATAAACATGGGTGTGCAAATATATTTTCTAGATCCTGGTAAGGGTTTTTTTTAATGACTAAACAGGTATTTATCTATTAGCATTCTATTTCATAAAATATAATATATTTTTTATGTTATCCTAGCTATTTTTCCACACCTAAGCCACCCCTTTTTAAAATATTAGTTCTGTTTTAAATTTTCAGTTCCCTGGTGGTCCTTTTGTGACCAGACTTGAGTGTACAGATGGTCCCCCAACTTATGATGGTTCAACTTAGGATGGTTTGACTTAAGATTTTTTTTGACTTCATGATGGTACAAAAGTGGTGAGCATTCAGTAGAAACCATACTTTGAATTATGAATTGAGATCTTTCCCGGGCTGGTGATACACAGTGTAATCCTCTCATGCTGCTGGGCAGGGTAGCGAGCCACAGCTTCCAGTCAGCCCTGCAGTCGGGATTGTCAACAATCAATACACTTAGAACCATTCTGACCCTCACAACCATTCTGTTTTTCACTTTTAGTATAGTACTCAATAAGTTCCAGGAGATATTCAACACTTTATTTTAAATAGGCTTTGCGTTTGATGGTTTTGCCCACCCATAGGCTAATAACAGTGTTCTGAGCACATTTAAGGTGGGCTAGGCTGATGGTGTTTGGATGGTTAGGTGTATTAATTGCATTTTCAACTTAGAATGGGTTTATCAGGCTGTGACCCCACTGTACATCAAAGAAAACCAGTAATCTGTTTCTAGTTCTTCCTGTATATGAGCTTTTTCCTGTTCATTCTGAACTTTCTATCTTCATTCTCTATCATCTTAATTCATTCCTATATAACCTCTTCCTCTCACCCTTCCTTTTCCTCCTTTGTCAGTATCTTAGCTTTTTATTTATATAAAGATATAAGTAGAAAAGAATAAATAAATGGGCATGCTTGTCGGGTGCCGTCTATTATAGATATCACCATCCTCTCTTTATCTAAATCCCAACCATGGTTGACTTTAGCTCACCTCCTACTCTAGGCCTGAAACCCTGCCAGCTAAAATGAAGTCTGCTGGGTATAAACATAATCATGCTGATTGGTCTCACTTCAAATTGATGACCACAAACCTCAAGTGGGCCCCTGTGCTGCCAGCAGTCCTGCTATATATCCTTAGTCTGGTGGTTCTCAAAGCATGGCTCCAAAAGCATTAACATCATGTGAACTTGTTAGAAATGCATGTTCTTGATCTCATCCCAGACTTTATGAATCAGAAAATTTGGGGATGGAAGCCCACAAGTCTGTGTGATTCTGATGCTAAAGTTTGAGAACCACTGCCATAGTCAATTCACTCTCCTATTTTTTTAAAATACTTTTTCACACCTTCACTCTTCTCAAACTGCCAACACCCCCCTCTCTCTTTCCGCACTCCCACCTGATGATCACTTTTCATTTCAAAGTAAATAGGAAATAAAAGTGCTCAGAAATGAACTTCCTCATCTTCATACCTCACATCTGCCTGCATCTGCCGTGCCTCTGTACCCTGCCTTCTTCACTGTCACTAGGGCCAACCCCTCTGCCCACTGGTGCATTACTTCATATCCCTTCTTTCTCCTGAGGTCATTTTTCCTCTCTACAGGATCTTTCCCATCAGCATACACACATCTCTCTTTAAAAAACAAACCAAAATAAACCCCACCTCCCTGAAAATCTATAAGTACTGCTAGGGAGTCATCTATCAGATACATTGCTATGTGAAAATTTTGAATATTTATATGTATTTTCTTATTTTCTTAAAAAACAAAGCAACAGAAGGATAAACCAAAAACCAATGCAAATAGTTAGCAATGAGGAGGGAGAGGTTGGGAGTGAGGAGAAAGGGGACAAAAGCTACACCTTTCTGAATGGTATTTGTTTACACTTTTGACTCTGTAACTATGTACATGTTTCATATAATGAAAACACCAAATGAAGTCAAATTTAATTTAGCTAACCTCATTGTGTAACAAATTGAAAGCATGACCAGAAGGAGAATTCTTTTAAGTGGCTTTAAAATAGGGTAGGTTTTCTTTTTTTACATAATTGTAGACTTAGAGAAAAATTACAAGAATAGGACAAAAAGAACAGTAAAAAAAATATTCCAGACACCTTTCACTCAGATTCCCCGTATGTTAACATTTTTCTACATTGCATCTTATACTTTTCAATTTCTCACTCTTTTCTATGTCTTATCCATCTACCTGTATATTTCCTAAAAATAAGGAATTCTATTAATAGCCACAGTAAAATTACCAAAATAAGGGGATTTATATTGAAAGAATACTATTATGTAGTCTACAGACCTTGTTCCAATTTCATCAGTTGTGAATATCCTTTATAGCAAAAATAAAAACAAGATCGTGTCTTGCATTTTAAATCTCTTTAGTCCCTTTTGATCCCTTTAATCTGGATGAGTGTTTGAAGAATATGGTCCCCTTCTTTGTAGATTGCCATGCAGTTTGGGTCTGTCTGCTGCTTCCTCATGATTAGATCCAGTTATGTCCTTTGGCAGGAATTCCACAGAAATGTTGCTGAGTTCGCAGGGAAGGGATCACATGTTATCAATTAGTCGCATTACTAGCAATAGTAATACAGTAATTTTGGTAATACAGACACACCTGATTTCATTGCACTTTGTTGCACTTCACATGTATTACGTTTTTTTTAGAATTTGAAGGTTTGTGGCAACCCTGTGTTGAGCAAGTCTACCAGTGCCATTTTTCCAACAGGATTTGCTTACTTCATGTCTCTGTGTGTCACATTTTGGTACTTCTTGCAGTATTTCAAACTTTTTCATTATTATTGCATTTATTATGGTGATCTGTGGTTGTGTTCTTTCATGTTACTGTTGTAATTGTTTTGGGACACCACAAACTGCACCCATATGAGACTGAGAACTTAATTGATGTATGTATTCTGATTGCTCCAGTGACCAGCCATTCCCATCTCTCCCTCTCCTTGGGCCTCCCTATTCCCTGAGACACAACAATACTGAGATTAGGCTGATTAATAACCCTACAGTGGCCTTTAAGTGTTCAAGTGAAAGGAAGAGTCTTATGTCTCTCACCTAAATCAAAAGCTAGAAATGAGTAAGCTTGGTGAGGGAGGCATGTCCAAAGCCAAGAGGGGGTGAAAGCTAGGCCTCTTGGGCCAAACAGCCAACTTGTGAATGTAAAGGAAAAGTTATTGAAGGAAGTTAATGTAAAGTGAACACAGGAATGATGAGAAAGCAAAACAACCTTATTGCTGATGTTAGTGGTCTGGAAAGAAGCTCAAACCAGCCACAACATTCTCTTAAGCCAAAGCCTAATTCAGAGCAATGCCCTAACTCTCTTCAATTCTCTGAAGGCCAAGAGGTGAGAAGCTGAAGAAAAAAAATTGGAAGCTAGCAGAGGGGAGTTCATGAGGTTTAAGGAA